GTGACATCATCACAAGAGAGCCTGGAGACAGACATATTGGCACAGATACAGTTCTCAATGACATTTCTCCCACAGTAATAGAGTCGTGCTGAGAGAATGGGGATGGGCAGAGATATAAAGACATTCCTGGCCACAATGAAAATGACAGCCTTTACTACAAATTGGTCAGTGATGATGGATGGGTATCTCAGTGGGTGGCAGATGGCTATATAGCGATCAAAGGCCATTACCATGAATGTACAGGATTCCATGCCTAGAAAGCTATTCATGATATACATCTGAAGGAAGCAGGCAGAGAAGCTGATGAGCCTGAGATCAAACCAGAAGATGGCCAGGACCTTGGGGATGACAGTGAGGCAGAGCACAATATCCAGCAGGGAGAGGAGGCTGAGCAGATAGTACATGGGCTCATGCAGGGAGGCCTCCAGCTGGATGGTGATCAGAAGGACAGCATTGGCCCCCATGGCCATGAGGAAGAGGAGACTGAGGGGCAGGGACAGCCAGAGCTGCCAGCCAGGAGATGTGACAAAACAATTCAGAAGGACGTCTGAAATTCCAGTGCGGTCGGTGTCATTTTGGTGTGCCACCATATTTAGTCAAGAATTTTTACAACTTTCTTTTTTTGATCTGTAAAATGAGGATAAAATCATCTAATGACTCTAAGTACACGAAGATAAAACAACTTTCTTTACACGGACACAACTTGTGGCAGTATATCCAGGCCATTGTTATTTGTCTGTTTATCCATAATGCCATGCTAGTTGGGCTACTCCTATTACATTAAACAGTGCAGAGTACTGAGATAATGTGATTTATTACAGGTTTGATTTATTCAATTTATGCTTTTAATAGAATTGTTGGGTACTTTCAGAAACTTAAGAGAAAAAAATTACTTAGGAAACACTTTGGGGACAGATGAGATTCTCAATATGTATCTATAAATTTTTCCTGTTTTCTTTTTCATAGCCACATAAACTATCATATTTGCAATTTAACTATCACAGTATGCCTAGTAGAGCCTGACATAAAAGGGGCACAGATAAATGTCCCTAGTTCCCATGCAATTTACATTATGAGATTTTAGTTGAATTTATTTTGATTTAATTAGAGATTTTGTATTTATTATATACTAAAAATAAAGTTAACTTCCAATTTTCTATGAGATCACTTTTATTTGGTAAAATGGACCCTACCACATAATTGCCCGCCCCCTATCTACTTCTTAGATGGATCTTCATATTTGGAGAATAGCTAATTTCTGGAAGAAACAAGTTTAAAATGAATGAGCAATTTCACACAGTTACAAGGGAGCAATAAGTGTCATTGAACAAGTGGAAATATTGTGATTGCAATGGTGCAGGGGTGCTAGAGCCCACCTTTCCAGCCTTCCATCCCTTTTTCATGCTCCTTTTCTATCTTGAATATAATGATCCATGTACATGCTTCTCACCCTCCAGACAGTAGTTCAATATTGCCACTATTTTCTTTTTATTTAGTCTTTCCCCTGGCATTCCATTAGGTGCCAGGGCCACAAATTAAATAAGAAACACTTTTACTGTGAAGGAGTGAAACTAAAATAACTCTTGAGGCTGATGGGTAATAATGAGAACAACCAATATGAACAATGATAATTATATGTACAAGAGCAATGGCTAACTCTGACCTGAGGGATAGGCTTGAGAAAAAGAATTGTACATAAATTTGTTAAGGAGATCCCAAAGAGTGTTGTAGCTTAGCAAAAGTATTAGTCAGGCCTTACAAATCATATAGTCCTTTGTACTTAAATATGTTTACTGGGACAGAAATCTCTATTAAATTGTTATTTTGTGGATTTAGAAGCTCTTTTTCATTGAGTATTTAAGAACTGTCCTGTTTCTTTTTCATTAAGCTCACCAATATAACATAAAATTATATAATTATTTTTGGAACCCTTACTATTTCCTGGGAAGTGTGTTCAAATATTCTAGAACTTTATAACATTTAATCATCAATATCTAGTAAAATATATCTTATTATCAAATATATCTTATAAATAAGGAACTGAGAGCTCAAGATCCAGATTGGTAGGCAACCATACTGTACTGTTCTAATCCTAAGCCCACTTTACACAGAAGGTTGGATACAATTAATTTGTAGAACCCATTTAGGCCTCGCAAATAATTCCATGAGAATGTGCTTGCTGATCAATCTTATAAAGAATGAAATATACTTCACTCGTGATGTAACTAACCATTTAGAAAATGTAATCTTTTAAAGAAGGAATAGTTTGGGGTGGAGGTAGGGTGACAAAGAAGTTGTAATTTACCATAGACCCCAAACTGTGTGATATTGACACATTGATAGAGGCATACCTTTTTCAAGAGATTCAAATAGTACATTTGTCCAGTTATGTATTTCTTTTTCCCCTAATGCCATTCCAATCCTGTCAGCTGGCTCATCTCAGATTCTTCTCATTTGGGAGACTTTTAGTGATACTGGCTGCTCTACGAGGAGAGGAGGGAGGATGGGCATTCCTTCCCTGGTCTCCCCATTTCACCTCTGCTTCCCCAAGCAAGTCTGACAGATGTGGCTCTCCTGCCTGATACTTAGAAAATCTCCCAAGTCTTTTTCTCTTGCTAATAATAGAGTATATTAGCAATGACTTTGGCAAGTCCAAAATCAATTTTAAACAAATTGTTTCATTTGTGACTCACAATGACCTGAAGTAGGTGGGTTAAGTTGACTACTTTAGCCATCTGTCTTTCACTGTGCAAGTTCAGATTCAGTGATATTATACCTTTTATATGGTTTAACTGATAGGATTCAAATGTGTAAGAAATAGAATTCTAAGTCAAATGGAAGGACTTGGAATTCAGCCATATTTGTGGAGAAGCCTAGGGGAAGAAATATGTGTTTTTTTATTTTTGTCCCTTAATTATTTTTAGGCTAGCATGGCATTTCTGAGGGCAATATAAGAACAATAAGTTTATTTTGTCTCCCATTCAGTTACTTCTCCTTTCTCTGAACATTTCTGCATGGTCTTCACTCATAAATCATCTTAAAAGCTTTGAATGACTTACTCAGCCCTAGAAGCAAAGCACTTGTCCTTTTGCTTCCCCTCCTCTTTTAATCTTGGTTTGCAATCTGTATTGGTAGGCAACCATGCTGTACTATTCTAATCCTAATCCCACTTTACACAGAAGGTTGGATATAATTAATTTCCAGAACCCCTTTAGGCCTTGCAAATAATTCCATGAAAATATGCTTGCCCATCAATCTTATAAAAAAATGAAATATACTTTACCCGGGATGTCACTAATCATTTGCAAGAGGCCGAACTGGTGACGAGGACTAAGATCTTGTGTTTTCTGTTTCCAGCCAGAGACAGCATGAGGAAGCCAGGGCAGCTGAAAGTCTAAAATTAAAACAAAGTCCTTGAAACCCAAGCGTTTCCCCAGGCTGCATGGCAGGCCCACAGCATGGCACCAGGGAAGCCTTGTTTTAAGAAGTGGAAAGGTTGTTGGAGGGATCACCTAGCTCGATAAAACTCAGGCATGCAAGACATCTCTACACATGTAGTTCCAGATACAATTGTGTGCAGATAGTGATAGGTAGCTCCTTGCTTTTCTGGGTACAATTTTCTGAATTTGGGAGCAAGAGCTTTTACCATTTGATTGGGTTGTGCTGAAATTTGCTCAACTACTAATTTCTTACTGCCACCCA